GGAGTGGTATTTATAATCTGTGAGAACATGGTTTGAGTGTCTTTCCCTGAAGTGTATTGCACCAAGCCAGGCTGGAGGCAGGCTTCCTTGCCTGGCACTTACTGCCATGCGGCCTCAGTTGGGTCAACCTGAGATTATGCAGAATAACAAGTGGTAAATCAGTTTGGAAAATCTTTAGGGAACAAAGGAGAAGAGACGGAGTAGAAAGGGAGAGAAAGGGGAAAGGAAAAGAAGGATGAGGTTTAAATAGTCCTGGGAAGAGATTTAGGATATTTAAAGAACTTCAGCACAGATTTTCTTCAGTTGTGTTCCTGCAAGAAATGCATTTAGTACAGGAAGGTAATGTGAGGTTACAATCTAGATATTATCCTGAGTGGTTTTATGCAGACTCCCCAATTAAACGGGCAAAGGGAGTGGCGATAGGATTTGCAAAAAACAAAAGGTTTAAGTTGGAGGAGAGAATGGTAGATCCAGAAGGGAGATTCTTGTTCTTGAAAGGAAGACTGCAGGAAATAGAATGCACATTAGCAAACATTTACTGCCCGAATAAGAAACCGGAGATATATTTAAAAAATGTCCTGAGGAAATTAATGGATTTTAAAAAGGGTAATTTGATTGTGGCAGGAGATTTCAACTTTTGTATGGATCCACAGATGGATGTAGCCTCTCGGGTGCAGATAGAGAGTAGTAGGTCTTTGAAAAAGTAAAAAAAAATGCTATTTCAATGTCAACTTGTGGATATTTGGAGAATTAAGCATATGAAGGACAGAGACTATACGTTTTGCTCTCCTACACATGAGATGTATTGGACTACATAATGTTGGACCACAGAATTATTGAGTCCCTGGTTAACCCTGACGCCGACGTAACACAAATATGCGGCCTCACGGACCTGGGCTTTTTTCCGTGGGGCCGCATATTTGCGTACCTGTCTTTGTGCTGGGAGCGCGCCGCTCGGCGCGCTCCCAGCACCAAGACCGCGGTGTCACTGAGAGCCCCGGGTCCCGTTCTAACGATCGGGACCCCCGATTCCAGGTCACGTGATCGCTGTGATAGCCTCTGAAATCACAGTGATCAATCACTGTGCAGCCCGGCCCCCTTGTTTTCTCTCTCTCTATGAATGGAGAAGAGAGATACATTGTATCTCTCGAACTCCTGACACAGAGAGAGAAAAAAAAGTTTGTAAAAAAAAAAAAAAAGATAAATATTAAAAAATAAAAGAAAAAATAAAGAAAAATACCTAGATCAAGGTTTGATCTAGTTCAGTACCAGGGTTAGTGTTTGGGTCAAAGGTCAGGGTCAAAGGTCAGGGTCAAGAGCAAAGGTCAGGGTCAAAGGTCAGGATTAAAAAAATTGGTATCAGTGTCAGTTAGTGTTAATGTCAATGTCAGTGACAGTGTGTTTTATATAAAAAAAAAAGACAAAAACAAAATGCGCACTGTTGTTTCTGGACTGTACTACGGGTACAAACAACAAATAACATACACATATATGGTATTGCTGCGATCGTCAAGAACTGGAGAATGTATTTTGAGTTGTTCTTTGGTGGTAGGTTATGGTCGTAACAAGAAAAACACAGTTAAATTTAAAAAAATGATTTTTTTTACTATTTTGGCCCAGTTTTCCTTTAATAATAAAAAAAAATTAGGAGCTATCCATGACCATTTACCACCAAATGAAAGCCCAATTTGTCCTGAAAAAAAACAAGGTATAATCCACCTGGATGTACAAAGTAGTTGTGACGATATGTACGGTTTTACTAACACGTCAACGTTGCAGAATTGTGCTTAGGCATTTAGATTTGTTTTACCCTTAGGCGTGAAGGGGTTAAAGTAAATATTGAAGCCATGTCAATTTCTGATCATGCTCCCGTCACAATGCAATTATTATGGGGAAATGAACAGAGGGGAGGAAAAATGTGGAGGCTAAATGAGACACTTCTACAGGATCAGGATCAGGAAATGGATAAGAGGGCGAAAAGGGAAATTGAGCAATTTTTTGAGGAAAATGAATCTGAGGAAGTGATGGTGGCCACGGTGTGGGAAGCTCATAAGGCCTATATTAGAGGAATCCTAATGGCGGTAGGAGCAAAGAAGAAGAGGGAGAGAAGAGATAAAATAAACATGGGGGTTTTGGGTGAACTCAGTGATCTAGAGCAGATACATAAAAATAAAGTAACAAAAAGAGATTTTGCAGAAGATAATATATAAAAGAAAGAATTAAATAATTTCCTGGAAGAAGACAAGAGGAGAGTATACAACAGAATGACAATTGAGAGATATAGGTGGGGTGATAGACCAGGAAAATATTTAATGAGGGCTCAGAGGAAGAAAAAATCTAGGAATTATATAGAGAAAATAAGAGATAATAAAGGAGAATTAATGTATTCAACTAAAGATATAGTAAAAGTGTTTAAAGAATACTATAATAAGCTATATAATATTGAGCCCCATGGTATTATAAGAGAGGAGGAAGTAAGAAAACAGAAAGAAGACAGGCATACATAAAAAAAAGTAGGATTGCCAAAATTAAGTGAACAATTAAAATCCTTGAAATACCAATAAATCAGGAAGAAATACATAGTAGCATTAAAAAGTACTGCTGCCGGGAAAAGTCCAGGACCAGATGGATATACAGTGAGATACTATAAAACATATGAAGATATATTACTACCTAAATTGAGGACATATATGAATGCATTGGGAGGAGAGATCGAAATGAGAAGGGAATCCCTACAAGCTCATGTAGTACTCACACATAAGGAAGGCAAAGATAACACTCAATGTTTAAGTTATAGACCGATTTCCTTATTAAATACAGACACTAAACTATATGCAAAGGTTTTGGCAAATAGATTGAAAAATCTAATGTTGGAGTGGATTCATATAGATCAAGTAGGATTTGTCCCAGGGAGGGAGGGTAGAGACATGGGATTAAGATCATTGTTTCTTATACAAAAAAGTAGGAAGGCGAAAAACCCAGTGGTGGTTCTTTCGATCGATGCCGAAAAGGCATTTGATAGAGTAAATTGGGGATTTATGTTAGATACTTTGGAGGTGCTGGGAATGGGACCTAGAATAAGGGAATGGATAGGAAACTATACAGTCAACCTTAGGCAGCAATCATGGTTAATGGGGAGTTTTCAGAATATATTGAGATGCGGAATGGAACTAGACAGGGGTGCCCCCTGTCTCCATTGTTATATGTATTATCTCTGGAATCGCCTTTGGCTACCATCAGGAATAATATAGATATAAAAGGAATATGGGTAAGAGAAGTGGAGCATAAGGTGGCAGCTGACATGTTGTTTTTATGTAGGAAACCCAAGGATAACATTGCCAAATTTAATGAAATCTTTAAAACGAATATGGCAAGATGTCAAATCTAAAAATTAACCCAACTAAAACAGAGATTTTAAATATAAACCTTCTACAGACAGAGAAAAAAAGTTACAGGAGGAATTCCCCTTTGTTTGGAGAGAAAGAGAATTAAAATATCTTGGTAAAAAATTAACTGTATCTTTAAAGAATTTATACAGAATAAATTATATTCCATTACTAAATGAAATTAAGGATGAAATAAAGAAACTAGTTAGGGGATTTCAGTCATGGGTGTGACGGATAAGCCTGATAAAAATTAAAATTGTTCCAAAAATGTTATACAAATTCCAAATGATATCAATTAAGTTACCTTAAGAGCTCAGCCCTGCAACTGCTACTACTGCTAAAGGGACTTATCTTACTCCTGAAACTATTTGTTGCTACCACTTACCTACCGGCACTTTTACCCCCTTCCTGTCCAGGCCAATTTTCAGCTTTAAGTGCTCTCACACTTTGAATGGTAATTGTGCAGTCATGCAACGTTGTACACACATGTAATTTTTACAATTTTTTTCACACAAATAGAGCTTTCTTTTGGTGGTATTTACTCACCACTGGGTGTTTTATTTTCTGCACTATAAACAACAAAAAGAGCAAAAAATAAAAAAAAAGTTTTTTTTTGTTTCTATTATAACATTTTGGAAACAGGTAATTTTTCTCCTTCATGGATGGGCGTTGTTGAGATGGCACTGACAGGCTGCACTGATGAGGTGGAACTAATGAGGCAGTACTGGTGGGCATTGATGAGGAGGCACTGATGATGCTGCACTGATATGCAGCAATGATGGGCACTGATGGGCGGTGCTGACTGGCAGCACGGCCTGGCAGCACTTGGCACTGATGGGCATAACTGCTGGGCAGCACAGCTGGGTGGCACAGCTGAGCACTGGTGGGTGGTACTGGCTCGGCACTGATCATCAGTGCAGATGTCCTCTTAACATTTTCTGGTTATCGGCAGTACTTTCCTCACGCTATAGCAATGTTAAATTTAAATACAACAGGTGTAGATAAAGTCTCAAGCGGCATGCACTAACAAAAGGTGAGAAGGTCCTTGAGCACATGCTGTGCATGCGGTTCCCAGAGCGAGGGGGTGTTTGCATCTCTAGTGAATGCGGTACCCTGAACATGTCTAAAAGTACCTGGCACCTGGTATTCAGTGTTGGTCAGCTTTCATTGGGGCCCTTTTTAAGGTGGTGCACTGTCCCTTTTACCACAAGCCTACAGGGCACTTATACCCCCTTCCTGCCCAGGCCAATTTCCAGCTTTCAGCTCTGTTTCACTTTGAATGACAATTGCGCGGTCATGCAACACTGTACCCATATGAAATTTTTATACTTTTTTTGTGACAGATAGAGATTTATTTTGGTGGTATTTAATCAACTCTGGGTTTTTTATTTTTTCTTAAACAAACCAAAACCACTGAAGATTTTGGAAAAAAAAAAATTTTTTTCTTAGTTTTTGTTATAAAATTTTGTAAATAAGTGATTTTTCTCCTTCACTGATGTGCGCTAATGAGGCTGCAGTCATGGGCACTGATAGGCTGCACTGATGGACACTGATAGGTGGCACTGATGGGGACTTATGAGGAGGCACTGGTAGGTGGCACTGATGGGCATTGACAGGCATCATTGATGGGCACTGAAAGGCAGCACTGATATATGGCACTGTTAGGTGGCACTGACTGGCACTGTTAGGTGGCACTGACTGGCACTGTTAGGCGGCACTGATGCGCACTGATAGGCAACACTGACTGGCACTGATAGGTGGCACTGATTGGCAGCACTGATGGGTGGCACTGACTGGCACTGATGGGTGACACTGAAAGGCAGCTCAGATGGGCACTGATATGTGGCATTGATATGCACTGGTAGGCACTGATATGTGGCATTGATGTGGCACTGATGGGCACTTGCACGTGGCACTGATGAGCACTGACAGCTGGCACTGATGGACACTGACAGGTGGCACTGCTGGGGCTACACTGATCATCAGGGCACACTGATCATCAGTGCTCTGATGATCAGTGTAGATGTTGCCTCCTCGGAATGCCGATTACCGGCTCTCCTCTCCTCATGAGCTGTCAGCGTGACAGCTTGAGAGGAGAGAAATGCCGATAACGGGCTTTTCCCTGTTTACATGTGATCAGCTGTGATTGGACACAGCTGACCACATGACTGAGCCGACATCTTCGGCTCTTTCCATGGATCGGTGATCCACTGTGTCTGAGGGACACAGCACACCGCCGATTGCTGCGCTGCATGCTTCGGGAGCCGTGCATGCGCGGTGAGAATGGGAGGACGTCATATGACGTCCTCCCAGAACGAGAAAACGACCATGCGTCCGTCATATTACTATATGGCAGGAGGTGGTTAAAGTGGAACTTTACCCATAATAACTTGATTAAAACAAATGTTCTTTAGCTAGAAACATACAGGGGACTGAGATTGAGCTCTGCAGTCACTCTTCCAGCAGTTGTTTCCTTATTCTGGTTCACAATCCTGCGCAATGTTCTTTTGGCTCTTTCAGTCATTTGACCATGTTGACCATACTTATTCTTAGCGAGCACCAAGCTAAGCAGGCACCAACAATTTGCCCTCTTTAAACTCAGTAAGTTCTGACATGACTCCGTATTACTAGCAGCACACACAGTGAATGATGAAAGTGAGGCTTCCCACCTGTTAGCTAGTTGTCTCATCACACAGTGGCAGCAAAGGAATGTTACATCACTTCCTCTTTCAACACGAAACATATCATCACTTTTACACATGCAAATAATGTAGTATTTCCATTTTTTTTGTCTAACCTCTGTGCATTCCACATTAATATTTATTCTATAAAAAAAATGTGCCTATAAATTACCTCCAGCATTGTTCCTGTTTCTTCTTGCTTTAGGCTATCATTTTGTCGAAGCCCAAAGCCCCTGAACAGCAGTAAATATTTAGGTGGTCAATAGATCAACCTCTACAAATTCGTCAAAATGCCTAAAAATAGAGAGAAACTGAGCATGTGCAGCATAGGGTGAGACAGTGTATTGCTGGATTTTTAACAATATAGGCCAGGGCTTAAAATTTTGAGTCTGGACCTACTAGCCAGGCATAAACCTTACTCTCCTCCAGTTGCCCCACCCAACCTTGCCCAAGTGGAACTTTATTCAGAAAATTAAGAGTGTTTGTAGATGAGAGAGGCTAAGCTACTAAGTAGGTCTAGACTCTGTTTGGGCTAACAAAGAGTGGTGCGAATTTAGGACATGTAGTTCAGCTCACCTCTTACTGGCAGGTGGCTAATCCCGTTCCAAAGGGATGGTGATAAGCAGTTCCCAGCAATCAGGCCCTGAATCTTCACACAGGCTGCAGTCTCTCGGCTCAGACCCTGAGGATGCATTGACTCTCTCAACTCAGTCTCTGCAGGCAGATCTGAATCAGTATGCCTGGGAAAATAGTTAGGGCTCATGTACACTGCAGCTGATAAACTCACGTTTAGGAGCTGTTCAGCATTTCTTTCAGCAGCCCCTGAACTCACCCTAATGTTTTCCTATGTGTCCATGTACACATCGTCATTTACAGGCATTTGAGTTTACAGTAGTTTTTTTGAACGCAGAAAACTTGAGTTCAGCAGTCGATTTTATCAGCGTTTCAAATGCAAAATGCTTGTAAACGCGGCAAATCGCGTTTGTAAGCGTTTGCGGCTGAAATTTTTTTTAACTCTTCCAGTTCCCAATGCTGTCCAGAGCCTTTTTTCGTCATGAAAAATGCTTGCAAAGCATTTTCAAGGTACTCAGATGGACAAAACACTGAAAACAGGATGTTCCTACCAAGCTTGTCACACATTGTAATAACCAATTCACACCTCAGACCTCTCCCACCCTTGGAAACAAAAGATATGTTAATGACCATTCACACCTCAAATTCCTCATGAAGACTCCCTGCCAGGTGACCTTAATGACTCACTGCACCAGACACCTTTTCCACCCTTGGAAACAAAAGAAATGTTAATGAGCAACTCACACCTAATTATCTCAACACATACTGCTGTCTCTGCTTCTACTCTCTGTATTTCTCTGAAACAGTCTGCAATAGTTAATAATTTACCACTTTTCAGTGCATTCTGGGCATTTGGGAGGTTCTCCAGTGCTTATCTTTAAAAAACGCTTCTAAACGCAAACGCACATAAACGCGTTACGCAAATGCGGCTAAACAGACATTTTTTTAACTATGTTTTCTATTAGTCAGTTTCCATCCTTCAGAAGTGTCCAGTGTACATGGGGCCTAAGGCTTCTCCTCCTCCAAGATTTCCACAGCCTGTTAGCCTCCATTTACAGGTATGGTGCACTGCCCATTTAGGAACTACAATTCCCATCATCCATAGCTTCTGCAGATCCCTCTGATTGGATCTGCACTGTTAGGAGGGAGGGGGGGGTGAGAGGGACTGAGCAGACAACACACACAGCCACATCAGGCAATAAGTAAAAAAAAAAAAACTGGCTGCATTTCCTCTGTCACTGTGCAGTTTGGGGGGGCGGGAGAAGAGTGCACAAAGCCAGCTACACCCAGCTACATTAGGCATGCTCATGAGAGCAGCCTTACAACCAGCAATTGCAGCTGTTGGTGTGCGTCATGGCCTTAAGGTCTGGACTTGTTGCATAACTAAGATTAGGTGCACATAGCTGAAGTAATAACAAGCGGAATTGCACTGTGAGGGGATCATGCTTGGATTATTTCATTCTAAAGGTTACTGTGGGGAAGAGTACTCTGTACCACTTGAAAAGAAGGCTAGGCCTACAGTTCAATACCTGCTGCTTCTTCTACTTGAAAAATAAAAACATTTTTCTACAATCTCAGGCCTCTGGCTTCAGGCTAAATAACTCCAGTCCCAGTTCCATAAGAAATCTTGGACTCCAAAGCCCACAAAACTGAGGAATAAGTCCTCTTCTTGAAGAAGGGATGCCCTCACTCACTTTGATAGGTGAAGGTTTGGTAGGAACATTGTGGACAAGTGGTCCAGAATATAGTTGCTTGCAGTGACAAGCTGGAATTTCAAAGCTATCCTTCATACTTTATGATTTCAAATGTTTTCTTTAATCCACACAAATGAATTGCTTTTCTTCAAGCTTGATCATCTTCTATTCAAAGAGTGATCATTCCGATTCCAGAGGAGGGAAGGTTTTAAGCTTTCTACTCAAAACATTTTCACGGTGATGTTAGTCCCTTCTTGGATCTCTGAAGACTCCAAAAGTTTTTTTTTTAATAGTGAAGAAGTTCTGAATGGAATCAATGCAGTCTGTGGTGACCTCTCCTCAATAGGGAATTTTCTGCCATGTATCATGTCGAAGACATTTCATAGCTTCTCCAAGACACTTTTTTAGTAACTAGAACAGGGTGGCTTTACAACTTTCAGTCCTCCCACCCGGTTCTTGGACAATCAATATTACCATATTCCATGGTGATTGGATTAAGGTTGTCTGTGCTATCTGTGTGGATATAAATGCTGGGGTATTTTACTGACCCTCAGTGAAACTAAATAAGTGGCTTGGAGAAGCTACATAACATCTTCTAAATTATACTGTAGGACAACTCTAGTTAAATATAAATAATTACTTCCAGCTATACCATGACCTGGATAAATAATAACCATTACAGACATGATGGTCTAAATAAGGGGGTCTCCAAACTATGGCCCATGGGCCACATCTTGCCCACTACAAGATTTTATCCAGCTTGCAGCTAGGGGCAATTGCGTAATCTTAACGTGCGCAGATTGAAGATTAGGGTCAGAAAGGCTTCACTTCACCCCCCTCCCCAGCCTCCTAGCTACCATTAACGTACTTGCCCCAGCTTTCACAAGAGTATGAAACTTCCTCCCTTCAGACCTCCTTTTGACTCCCGCCCTGCTACTACACAGCTACAAACGTGCTTAAAGGGGTAAGTGAGACTCTGATGGGTACCCTGATGTAAGGTGGACTCTGATAAGAACTTTTGTTTTGGCCTGTGAATATTTGTAAAATATACAATATGGCCCTTGTACTGAACTAATTGAAGACCCCTGGTCTAAATGGTAAGTGTGTTTAGGTTTCCTGATAAATTAATCTATCCATATTCCATATTGTCTGCAATAAGGAAGTTAGGCTATAATTTATTAGCAAATGACAAATCCATCTATAACCACTTGTTATGTGACAGGTTCTTTTTGACAAATTGTAGCAAAAGCAAAAATCCAATTTTTTTGTTGATTTTACAGTATATCAATATTTTCTGCCTAATGGATAAAAAATGTTGTCACTTTAAACCAGGCTTAATCCATTCTTCTTCTGTGGTGTGAAGCTCGAGTTTTTTTTTTTTCTTTGCACACATTTCAATGGTTATAAACAGGCCTTTAAGTCTGACATATCCTTTGCTTTTAGACTATTGCTGTTTGTAGAACCGATCTGTGGTTTGTCCAGAAGGTGGAGCTGTTGCCAAATGGACCAGATTCAGTTTCTTGAGGTCTATGTTTGCATCTACATTTACAAGAAATAGTTATTGTTGACCTAGCATGTAGTAATAACCAAAGGTGCCATTTGTGGATAGAGCAGTCACAGCAGTTATCCTGGCTGAAGTATACTCATTGTAATAAAATGAACCTTCATAAGTAAAAAGGCTCAATGGTTGTTTGGTATACTGTAGCCCTCATTTATGTAGGAAAAGCATACACATTGCACTGCTGGTTAAGATGGATATGTTCTCTTAGATTGTAAGCTCTAACGAGCAGGGCCCTCTGGTTCCTCTTGTTCCAAATTGTATTGTAACTGTAATGTCTGCCTTCACTTTATAAAGTGCTGCACGAACTGTTAGTGCTATGTAAATCCTGTATAATAATAATAATATGATTATAGCAAATGCCTAACACAAAAATAAGTAGGTAACAAATATTTAGAGATATGTTTGCCTGCTAGAATACATCTTAGTTTTCACACAAGTACTGAATTTGAAATGTCTACTCTTGATAAGTAAAACACATATTGGCTTAGGCCATAAAAAGTTAGCTTGTTTGTCTCC